TATGAATATGAAAATGCCCAGCAATGTGCTGTCATATCCGATGACAGTGACGATGAAGACGATGACGATAACGATTACGATTACAGTCTCTGGGTGGGCCTGTTACGCATGGCGTCCAAAAGCAAAAAAGTAAAAGTGAATGAAAAATGAAAATATGAAAATGAAAATGCTGAAAGGTGCGTGTTGGCGGTTTCTTTTATTTGACGATCATTAACTTGCCTCCTCTCTTTTTTTCGCAAATGATGAGCTTGAGTTTGCTTTGGGGTCACTCGGATGGGGCTGGACTGAGTTGGGCTGGGCTTGGGGGCCTCTAAACTGCTCGATTTGGGCGGGACAAATGTTTTGACACAACATTCATCAATTAATCGAATGAAAGCGTGAAAAATGGCCATAAAACATGAGAGAGACACAGGCAAAATCAATGAACTTGGCTGCGTGTAAGTTTATGTTTGTTTGGGCTATAAATTCAGAGTGAAAATTAGATAAAATTAAGAGGCGTGCCACACACACTCGAACACACACACACAACAGTTAACCAAGCAAAAAGAGTTGGCGTGTTCATGATTTTTCTTTTTCATTTTTATTTGTAACACAATCAAATTAAGTGACAAATTAATTGAGTGCGCATCATGTTAGGCGTGAAAGCCATAAATAACAATTGGCATTGACGATGCGAATAACTTTTTGGGTGTGGGCCCTTATCGCCAGGAAGATAGCTTAGCAAGATGTGGGAAGAAATTTATATTTAATTTATAAACAGTATATATATTCGAATCTTTTAGGAAAATCAATATAATATAATGCTAATATATATATATAAAATATTATATATTTATATGCTTACTCTTTATCGAGTGTACACTGTCATTTGCTGTGCACTCAATTGAAAAATGAGTTCAGGCCACAAAATAAAAAAAAGAAACAATCATGTTGTAAGCCCTTTCGTCAACGTTCTCATAAGTGTGTCGCCAAAATCAACAGGTGTAAAAGGCAATTAAACGATTTACACATGAATTAATAGTCGCAATAATATTGCATTGAGTAGATGAGTTTTTGTTTTTATTTTCTGATTTTTATTGCAATTTAGCTGCTTTGGCGTATTGCGTTGTTGTGTGCCATATAAGAAACTGAAATATCAGCAAAAATATTTCACAAGCTTAATTGGCATAGCAAATAAGAAGAAGCAGATGACGCAGTAGTAGGAAAATAAACATGCAGAAGATATTTTTTTTCTCTCATTTTTTCTCATTTGCACACAACAACAAAAAACACAACAAACAAACTTAGCGACTTAAGTAAGCCAAAAAGCCAGAGTTAAAACCCAAACCCAAACCCAATCTCGAAGCCAAAAGTCGATTGCATAAATTGCTTAGCAAATCCACGAGTAGGGCGGGGGACTGGGCTGGAGAAGGGGAGGTTATTTTTGTGTAATTCAATTTTTGAATATATTTAAGGGCAGCGTGAGAACCGCTTTTGTAAAAGGCAATCATATTTTTAAATTTTAGCAACAGCAACAACAAAACTTGCAGGTGGGAAAATTGCAAGGCAGGTTTTAAGTACGCAATCGGCGTGCAGCAGCTGCCACAGCGGGTGGCGCCACCAATTTGGGCACCGTTCAACCAACTATTGTCAGATCTTATATAAATGCTCTGCTCTGGTTCCTGGGTAAAAACATTCAATTGGCAATCACATGCGAATATTCATAGTTTTTCTTTTGAGCTTTGATATCCGGCACGCTATTCGTGTGTCCGACGTTTCAATACTCTGCAGCAAGGGTATTACGAGTTGCTTATACAGTTTGAAGGGTCTTAGGGCGTGGCTATAATTGAGTTAGTCTCCTTTCCCAGTTTACTTGTTTTAAAATGATTTCTTGCCATTTAAATATTCCTTCTTATTATCTGCGCCCTATACGTCTTCGTTGCGATCCTCTAACTTTTAATTGCGCTGGTTCGACTCTTAGTATAAATTAATAATCCCATGTTACAAGTCACATTATTTCGAAACTATTAGGTTATAGGATATTTATACCTCTATGAATCATATAAATCAGCCCCAAGTTATCTTAAAGAGCATTTCGTATTCGTTGCACTGGAATTGGGTTTTCTCTTCATATAAATATATCTTTTATTATTATTTCTGGTACTTGTGCAATATTTTTTTAATCATGCTCGTATCACATAATTAATGAATTTGCGCTCATTATTTTGAGGTTTTTATTATTTTTTTTTTTAATTTATTTATTTATTTTTTTTTTTTTTTTGGCAATTTCGTGGCTTACACAGGAAAAAACAAATTGGGTCAGTTTGTTTTTGGAGCCGGGTGACAAGTAAATCCCATTCTATTGTTCACAGATATGAGAGCGCAACTTCAATAAAAGCGTTTTCCTCTCTTTTGGTTATTTTGACTCGTGGTCATAATTAAAATGCGCTGCTTAACTTGGCTCTAGCTTGGTGGAATCTTTAACTGGAGCGTGGCTTTTAATGTGCAGCAGTTCTGGGCCAGCCACAAGATCTTTTCTTCTAATTTTATTAAATTTCGTTTTGTTTTTGTTTTAGGTTTTTTTGCTTGCATGCTTGCGGGCTCGTGCCAGTCAATGGCCAGGCCAAAAACTGATGGCCTTCTCTCCCCCTCTCTCTCTCTCTCTCTTTCCCTCCCTCTCGCTCCCTCTTTGTCTGTCTGGCTCTTTGCTGCTGGCCAAGTGTGACGCGAAAGTCACGGCGGCGACTTTACGAAATGACAAAGTCTACAATTACAGCCAACCTTTCTTTCCATATAAACCAAAAACCAACAAGTAAGAGTGTTCGTGCTCGAGAGTGCCCGACTAGCAGACACCCTGTGACCAGCGCTTAGAATAAGAATAATTCATTAAAAAGTGTGTTGTAGGTTAAAGTTAATCGAAAAGTGAAATATTTAAAGTCTGCGTGTGGCATCAGATTAGCTACATAAATTTTGTATCTCAAGCTCTTTAATTTCCCAAGATGGACCTGTTTTCAATTCGATAGTAATCGACAAATTATATAAAATCATATTTTTCGATAGAAATGGAAGCTATCGAAATAAAGAATCAGATAAATAGGAGCATGTTGTAGTATTTAGCTTTTATAGATTCTTTTTAATTTCCATATGTGTCGAAAATATAATAATATTTTTCAATAGAAAGATCAAATTTATGTCTATTTCTTTACTATATAAGATCGTTGCTAGCATTGAGATGAAAAGAAGTACGAACATACAGATCGTTTTTTAATATTGATCAAGATTATTATAAATAATATATAGATCAGAGAACTGCAGATGCTGTCTTCTGCCAGTTACATAAATTGACACACAACTAGTATACCCCTCTTTACACACTTTCAATGGGTACAGGGTATATGACTACCAAAAAAAAAACCAACAACCAGCGAAAGGGGGAAATGGCAAAAGCACTTTGTTTTCTTTTCAATTTTGTTGTTTTTTTTTTGCCAGCCAAGTGAAAATCATGATTAAAACAATATCTATGCGTATATCTATCTTTATCTTATGCTAATTTCTCATTGGCCATTAAATTCTGCCCCAAACACAATTTAATTGCGGATCTTTTGTTGCTCGCTTAATTTCAATGCATCTTTTAGTAAACTTTATTGTAGAAATTAAAAAAAAAATAAAAGTTTGACCTTAATGTGGAAGAGAACTTCTTTGGGAGATATTTTCCAATATGTCCATCTTTCACTTATTTGAGCGCATTCAGAAATTGAAGAGTATTCCCATATTATAAACATACATGTTTAGACTTTATATTTTGCCTTTGAATTTGTTTAAACTTGTCTTAAATTCCTTTCTTTATATATGCATATCATACAAGTTTTAAGTCTCTATGACCTTCCGGGCTTCAATTTATTAAAGTAACTGATCCATTCATTTTTGTATACCCCACTTAAATCCAAGCCACTCCGTAAGTCTCAAGTTTATTCGATCTTTAATCATTCGTCTTGAGCCAAGCTTCTCTATGAGCTTTTAAGCTTATATTGAAGCTTACCGATCCATCCATTTTTATGTATATCTCATTCGTTCTAATTTTAAGCTAACGTGTAAGCTTTAAGTGGAGCTCCTTCATAAGTTTTTAAGCTTATATTGAATCTACGCTATCCATTCTTTCCTTTGTTGAAATCTTTCTTAACTTCATTGAACCTTTAAGCTTCATGCGTGATTAAAGCTCACGCTTCTATAGAAGCTTGCTGCTCCATTCTCAACTATATTTAAAAACATTTCTCGAATATATATGTATTTCATACATGCGCTTTAAGCTTTAAGTCTTATCATGATCTTCATTATTATTATTTAAAAATATAGTCATTTATTTAAATGGTTATTTATTTTTAATTTCTTCTAATTACTTAACTTAATCGCGCTTTATATTTCCGACTTTGTTCGCATTTCCCATTTTGATTAATAGCTTTTGCCACTTTGGCTTTAGCTTAGTCTTTGTCTTAAAATAATTTTTTTTTTTGCTTTATTTGCACAGTTACAATTAAATTCATTTCCCCACCTACTTTTCCTCCTACTCACAATTGTTTTTTTAATGTTTTTGTTTGCTTTACTATTTTTGTTGCTATTTTTTTTTTTTTTTGCATTTCTCTTTACATAAGCTTTGAAGTTGTCTTTTTATCTGTTATTTTTTGTTGTTGTACGTTTTGTGCTTTACCGCCGCCGCCGTTGACTTTGGCGTCGCGCGCCTGTGGCTTGAAGTTAGTCGCGCGTCGCGCTTTCAAACAAACGGACGTTGCGCGGGGCCTTTTCTTGTGGAGCGAGAAGTTAGCAGCAAGCAAGCAGATAAGTGCGTGCGTTCGTTCGTGCGTGCGTGCGTTTCAGTGAGGGAGTGAGTGAGTGCGAGTGAGCAGGCCTGCGACTGTTGCGCTGGGCTGTGTATAACACTTAACGGACTACAGTTTGACAGTCATTTGTTGTTTGTTTTTGTTCTACTTCGTGAACTGCGCCTGCGTCTGCTCTCAATGAAATAAAAATAAAAACAAAAAATGGGCCTCAACGAGTTTGTCTCTCTGTTCTACGGCTCCGCACAGAACTTGCACGTCAACGGCGACGGCAGCAGCAGCAGCAGCAGCAAATCGGCGTCGACGTCGACGTATTCATTGCCAACGGTCGCGGATGTCAAAGAGTTTCGTCAAATGTTAAAAAATCATAAAAATAATGTGCAGGCTAAGAAATACAGTTACAAGGATTATCCCAATGATATGAAATTCAGCAAAAATCTGAATGCGTCGCAAATCTATGCAGCGCAGCCGGCGGCAGCTGCCAAAAAGCTGCTCAACACCAGCAACAACAATAACAACAACAACAGTCACAGCCACAGCAACAACAACCACAACAACAAGGCTGGCAAAGCGCCGCCCGCCACAAGGATACCAACAAAACTAGCCGCAGCTGCAACATGCAGCAGCAGCAGCAGCAGCGGCGGCGGCGGGGTCGGCGAAATAGACGTGCAACGCGGCAAACACAAATCCGCAACATCCGCGAGCTCCTTTCTGTGGAATTCCTTTCGCTTGCCACGCAGGCAGAAGGCAGCGTCCGTAGCAGATAAAAAACGCGCAGCCGGTGAGTGACAACAACAAAAAGAAAAAAAAAAACAAAAAGCTCAGGGAGATCTGTGTAAAAATCAATTGTCATGTAAAAAGAAGCGCGACATTGTGCGAATTTGAGATACCCTGGAGAAACGAATTTTAAACTAACAGTTGCAAAAGTTGTTGCGATTTGCGGTTGTGCTTCGTTTACATTCACCAGTTTTGGATTAGACGATACCCTGTATATACTATTAGAAAGATACTAGATACTAGATACTAGATACTAGATACTAGATACTAGATACTAGATACTAGATACTAGATACTAGATACTAGATACTAGATACTAGATACTAGATACTAGATACTAGATACTAGATACTAGATACTAGATACCCTGGAACACCTTAGATCTGTTGGACATTGTTGGTTTTGTTGTAAGTAACGCTTAGAACAAATTAGATATTTAGGCAGGCAACGACTGGTAGATACCTAGTGTCCAGTAAACGACTGGAAAATACCTTAGTCTTCTTACAATGTCTGCTAGACCGCACAGTATGTACAATCACAATTTTCAAAAATATATTTAGACATCTGTGGAAAATGGGTATAAGCCTTATATAGGTAACAGGAGAACTCTGCAGTGCTCTTTCTATCTTCTTCGCAAACTTCTCCTTTGGAGGACGAAATAACTGAGCATACGTTATATTAATTTTGATTAATGTTAAGAATCTTAATTCAAAATACACTTGATTTAAATAAGACTATAGCAGCCACATACTAATTTTCGCAGCTCTAGCTCTTGTAATTCCAGAGATTGGGGTATTTATGCTATAAATTGAATTAAGTGTAATTCTATGTCTCTACGAAATACAGGGTATAACAAGCTGCAACTAATTGCTAATGCCCAACATATTATCTGCCTGGCTACATCTTTCGGTCTGACCCATTTCCGTCTTCGTTTGCTCCACGAGCCGCGAACAATGCTGTGGCTCGCGGCCATTTGGCTAACAAGCGCTTAACAAGAGTTAAGATCTGGCTGAAGTAAGCCAATAAACTAGACAAGACATGGGAACAAAAAAACAAGAGCCGAGGCTAACGGCAACCCACCTGCAAAATTCTAACTGCCTAGCGGTTATCTAATAGCTGGAACATCAAATTTAATGTGTTATATAAGGTTACACGTTTTGTCCCTCTCTCTCTCTCTCTCTCTCTCTCGAGCATTGCGACAATTTCCTGTCTTCAAACGAGCCGTCAAATTGTTGTCTACCCGAATAATACTTTTTCACCTCGGCGCAATTAGAACTCAAGATCCCCCCCCCTTCTCTCCACCTCTCAAGCACCCCTACCAATGCCCACAGCTCGAACTCATAATTTTCTTGTCTACGCTTTGTTGTCTATTTTCGCTTTTTGGCGCGTTTCAAATCCGATTCTGACTTCTTTTCAGTTTTTTTAACTTTTAATAATAGAAATAGAAAAAAAAACTCTACTTCTATACAATCATTATTATTAAGTTTTTGTTGATAAGTCACTCGTGTTTGTTTTTTGCGCTATAAGCAAATCCCATAAAATCACACGATTTTTAGATAAAATAAGAAAGTTATAATATCTAACAGGCCGAAAACTAAACACCCTTCCAGATATGTAAGAAAAGTTATGCTGAGTTTGATGAATATATTTTGCCATCCTAAACTCATTTTTCAAACGATTGTTCCTTAAGTGACAAAAAATATAGTAGTACGATATTGACAAGACTTTGCTCATATGTATGCTACATAGTTTAACTAATAATTACCGAGTTTGGTAAAGATATCCTGATAAACCAAAAAGTTTTCCATACAAGAACCTACTTTTCAACCGATTGAGCCCTTGACAGCCTCGGATATAGTGGTCCGTTGCGAAACTTATAAATGCTGAGCTTGGTTAAGATATCTCCAGGCGGTTCCAACATATGTACCCCACTTAAATTCCACATAGCTCGAAAAATAAATCCCAATCTCTCCTAAGTATAGACCATTAATTGAGGTACATATATTGGGGACTTTTAATATATATCTGTACATTTTAGTAAATATATTGACTTTTTTAGATCATATTGGGCAAAATATTAGATTTTGATTTTCCTAAATTTTTAAAATTTGTTTTCTGAGTTGATACTCAGCATATTGCTGATATTTTGGATACTCTGCGCAGGTACGCATATGTAGGCGCAACAAGAAAAAAAACAACCTATTTACCGCCCATAACATCCACAATAACGGGGCATCTGCTGCCCGGCGCCAGCGAGTGGACCATTATTGATTTTTACAACACTAAAGATACTTAAAAAAAAGAAAACGAAATACACACAAAAGCGAAGAAGAAGAATAAGAATGGGCAGAAGAGCGGCGGCATGCCTACAAGTGCGCTTACAATGTGACGCATGTGGTTTTGTTGCTAACCTCTGCGTCTTGCGCCCGCACCCCCACATTGGCACCCTCGCCACAAGACATGTCGGCGATGAGTCATCCTCGCAGGCGACTACTCCAACCGCGGACAGTCACAATAATAACAAACTGTACGAAAAGTGTAAGAAGAAGCTGTAGGAAGCGCTTGCTCGCTGCTCTCTCAGCAGCACACAGTCACTTTCTCTCTCGCTTGCGCGACTGCGACGGTAGTCAGCATAAAAATTGCATAATGTGTTTCTTACATGTGTAACTGCTCTGTGCGTGTGTGTGCGTGTGTGACACACTGACACTTATTGCTCACTGAGCGCAGTTGACAGCTGAGAGAGAGAGAGAAAGAGAGCGCGCGTTTAGAACATGCGCATGCAATCAATGGCTGTGCAACTGTTATACAGTGCACGCTGATTGTTTACAGTGCTGCACAAACTGTCAAGTAAGCTTTGTTTTGGACAACAACAAATTTCGAATGCCCTTTTTGTTAGGGTATTTGCTAGTCGTGCAGGCCACATATTCTTTTTTAAAGCTTATGTCATGTCTGAAGTGCTCTGAAGTGCGTTTTGCTTTTAAAATTGCCCAAAATTGAAAGCCCATCAAATCGATTAATTAATAAAGCAAAATAAAATTTATAATGAAATGCATAATTAAATTGGCGCGCTGCGTTAATTAACGGTACAGGCGCGGAATTAACAAACTGTGACCACATGCTGTGGCGCCTCCAGCCAGTCGGCCAGCCGGCCGCTAATGGAGTCAAGTGCAGGCGACGTAACGGCCAATGTGGCTAATGGCTAATGCCGCGTGGCAGCCGCCCCCTTCCCCTCTCGCCACGCTCATATGTTGTGCGGCAAAGCGCAACAAATTGTTGCACTCGGCTGCAGTGGCTGCCACAGCAGCAGCAGCAACAGCAGCAGCTACGAATTGATTGATAACCGCCTTTCAGTCTTGAGTTTGCTGTCTTACTGCTACTTCTTCGTCTTCTGCTTATTTTGGCCAGCAGCCAATTGGCCAAAGTGCCGGTTGCCAGTTGCCAGTTGCCGGCTTTTGGCCTGCATACGGTACATGTTTATGCATAGACGGGGCGTATGCGCAATTTGCATGCAAAGGCGCGAGCTTCGCAAATTGCTTTTAAATGCTGATGGCACATTTTTCACCATGGCTTATTATTATTTGTTGTTGTTGTTGTTGTTTATAGTATAAGTTGTTGTTGCTTTTTTAGTATATGTTGTTGTTGTTGTTGCTTTCAGTTTTTGCTGTTTGTTGTTGGTTGTTGCTCGTGTGCCATTTGCATTGAACTTGTTTATTTATCGCATTACACGCAGTTCTTTTGCAAGCCCACCGCACCCCCCACCCCACCTGCGCCCTTCACCCATTGTGCAAGTCATTGCCAGTCAGCCATTTTTTTGCCAGGCCATAATTAAGGTCGTGTGCCTGTTAAACTGTGCAACAAAAGAAAGGAGTGTGCCACATTGTTTGCCACTGCGTGTGGCATATGCCAGCTCTTAATCGATTTTAGTGATTGTGCGAGTTTTTTGCGCGGTGCGACAAATCGAGGCGTCACATTTCATATTCAAATTCATGAGCTGCATACAATTTACTTCGATTTTATCTAAAGTAAACGGTTTTTGTTTTTAGATTGTTTCGGTTATTTTTTAGCTATTTAGCTCGAGCACATTAAAATGTTGTTATCCATGCTCCTTGTACTTATCCCAACTATATCAAGCATCTTACTCAAAATTAGCACAATCGAAATACTATATGTTCTTACTTAACAATTTTTTTTTGGTTATAAGGATATCGAGAAACTATAATTTTAATCATACAAAAGAAACTTATGAATGATATATATTAAAAATTATATCTTAATTTATAGGTTGATATAATTTCATATAATTTAATTATTATTGACATATGGCAGTTTTTTAACATTTTATTATAATTAAATTTAAATTTTTATTTTCTTCTTTCGGATACGTCTTTCACGTTGTTACCAAAATTCGCACATAATAGGCCACGTTTGTTTTCCTTCATGACTTTTTAGTTGGCCATGCGAATTAATTAGTTCATTTCCTGACGCTATTTTCCCCACATTCACTCGGCGGGTGTTTTGTTTGTTTTTGGTTTTTTATTTGTTTTTTTATTATTATTTGTTTTTTTTTTATGATTTTACTGGATTTGTGGAGTTATGGCAATTGTGAGCTTTTGTTGGTCGCGCTTCGCTGCCAACTTTTAACTCCCAACTGCAAGCTGTTGATTTCTTTTTTTTTTTAGTTCAGCTTACTTTTTTATAGTTTTCCCTTCTATTTTGGCATATATATAAGTATTATGTATATTTTGGCTAGCCAACTTTATAGGCCAACTTTCTGGCATTGATTTACGCACTTCGCCTCAACGTCGCGTTGGGCTGTTCATTTTGTTTTTTATATATTTTATCGTTGTCGCAATTAACACTTGTTGACAAGTTCAGTAGGCCAAGCCTCCATGTGTGTGTGTTTCACTTATTGTTGTTGTTGCTTTGAGTGTTGCGTGGCAGAGTCAATTTAAACTTAACACTTGACGCCTACGCGTAGACCCCATTTGGGGACCGACAACAGCT